TTCTAGTTTCAGACTTTCAGGCATTGACAAAACCCATAAGGACATGCTTTAGGAAGAACCATATAGTGGTGGTGAATGTGGTGTGTGTGTGTGTGTGTGAGTGGTGTGTGTGTGAGTGGTGTGTGTGTGTGACTAGGGCTGGGTTTGGGGCGGGGGGGGTGACAGTTCAAGCTCCTAATATTTTTTCCCACAACAGGTGGCCTTATAGACACCCAGGGACATGACCGAAGGGGGAACCTAGCTGTCTGCAAGTCACAAGACAAATGGACAAGATATTCTTTGAAAGGCCTTGGTGGCTCTGTAAACTCTGCTCACCCAGCAAGCCTCCCCAACTGGTCACCCTTTCAACCCAAATGCCCAAGGCTGTATAGACTGACTGGAATGCTCACACTACACAGGCTTCTTTGCTATTCCTAGTGTCCCCACTTTCTTGTACTCCTTTCTCTTCTCACACTACTCTGTGGTGCATGGTCCGGTAGCCTGGATGTAAAGGGGCAAGCACTTAGTGAAGCATGACTGGAGGAAAGGTAGAGAGGTGAGCTCAGGCCGGGGCTACCACATCCTGGCTGCTGTGGACTGGCAAACTTCAGCAGAAAATATATGGGTCTAAATCAGTGGTTCTCAACCTAAAGTGATTTTGCCCCCAGGGAACACTTAAGGTCTGGAGACATTTTTGGTTGTCACAGCTGGGAAGAGGGATGCTATACTTGCATCTAGTGGATAGAGGCCCAGGAAGCTGCTGAACACCCTGCAATGCACAGGCCAGCCCTCCACAAGAAATAATTATTTGGACCCAAATGGCAGTAGTCTGGAGGTTGAGGAACTGGTCTAAATGAAAAAGGAAAGAGGAATCCTGTTTGGACTTCAGTGGTTCCTAGAGCCTGAGCAATGTTTGGCAGAGGAGCCATTACTCTCTGAATGACTAACTCCAGGGGGTCCTGAAGGTGTTGGCACTTGTGTGTGTTCTCCACCTCCTTTGTGGTCGGTTCTGCCCCTAAGCCTGTGTGTGAGTAGCACTTTTCAGCATTCAGTAAATAATTCAGCAACAATTATGCCCCAGGCACAGCTATAGGCACAAGGAACAAGAGCATCAACTACATTGGTTAACATTTATTGGAACGTGGCAGGCATTGTGCTTAGCATTTTATGTGAAATCTGTCCTATAATATTGCACAACCACCCTGCAAAGCAACCATTAGCACATTCCCCATTTACAGATGAAGAAACCAAGGCCCAGGAAGGACCTGTGGCTTGTCCAAGATTCCCAAGCTTGTAAGTAACTAGTGGAAATGGACTGAAAAGGCACTTGGATTCTAGGGTCCAAACTTCTAGCAGCTATGTTGCATGGAGAAAAGAAAGGCGTTGTCCTTGGAATAAACTCTGTAGGTAGAGTGGTTACACTAAATGAAAATTTCCAGGAAATTTCGTCCCGATAACCCCGTTTCATTTAATTTCACAATTTGCCTTGCAAGTGCAGCTCAAACCAGAGTAGGCTAAAGACTGGCTGGCTCCCTAAGTGAGAAGCTCCATTTCCCCGTAGCTTCTGGACGCGGGCACACCCTTATCTTCCTCCCCACCCAGGCAGCAGAGGAGCCACTTTGATGCCGACTGAAAAGCTCGACGCCGCCCCTCCAGGCGAAGGCTCGGCGCCGAGAGCCCTGTGCGCCGCGGCCACCTCCAAGCTCCCCAGAGCGGCGCTCCTATCGCAGCCGTGTTAACCACTGCGACCACCACAAGGAGGCTGCGTTTTCTCCCAGGGCAGCTGCAGGAGCGAAAAGTCTGGTCTTCTGGGAGCAGGATGGGGAAACGAAAACTTGGGTAGAGAAAGCTGAGAGGAAGAAAAGCACGCTCCTGGGAGAACTGGACCCGCGTGGACCCGGCGCGCAGCCAGTGAATCGGCGGCTTCTTTTGGAAACAGGAGGGGCTGCATCGGGTGGCAAAACTGAACAGTTCGGGGTGGGGGTTATGCATCTAAGCTCCGTTTCCATCTCTCTCCATCCCCCACCCCTGCCCAGCCCAGTTTCCTGGCAGGCCCATCTCATCGCTTCCTTTCTGGACTGTCAGTGACAGCCGGAGAGAGGCTGCCCCAGGGGCACCCGGCCACCCAGCCACCCCCTTCCATAACCCAGAGAAGGAGCTGGCTCAGAAGCGAACCCTGGGACCCCTGGAGGCCTTGCTGCCTCCCGATCAAGGGCAGGCTGGTGGGTCGCACTGGAGCTAGAGGACGTGAAACTTCACCCACCCACTCACCGAAGGGCTGCGCGCCAGCCGCGCAAAACTGAGAAAGGGTCCAAATCACTGATAATTAAATTACCTGGGATTCTATTCGCCATATGCCTTCGAACACCTGGGTTTCGTTCGGGTTGGCACCATACCCCTTCCTGGGAGGGCGGAGAACTGGTCCTCGGTGAGGAGGCAGTTCTAACGGTTGGAGATGGGGCGGGGGTACCCAAAGGGAGGCTGGACTGGTTTTGGGCACAGTCCAGGCGTCTTGCCCTAGGAAGAACCTGGAGGAGCCAGATCATGCCCGCCTTTATTATAGGGGACCTGGATAGTGGACCCCGCACTTAACGTGATTTGAAGGAGACCGAAGGTTTTAGAAATGAACTGAACTCGTGTTGAGCAAAACCCAGCTGGAGCATCTTTCTGTCGAAAGGAAAACGCGTATTTGCTTTGACTAGATACGAGGAGTCCGAGCTCCCCAGAGTGTTGTGCGGGTGGGTGGGATTTCTGGCAGGAAAAGAAGTGGTTCCAGTCTCCAGTACCGGGAATGGGAGTCTCGGGGAGACGTTTCCCCGCTGTTTCCCATATCCAATTTCCTGAGCGGCAGAAATACCTCCCTCGGGTGTCGGGAAGAACCCGGAGTGGCGGAGCGTTAGCAATCTCTGCGGAAACCTGCGCGCCTTCTATTTCTCCTAGTCCGCACCCCTCCAGCCCCCCACATCTCTTCTCAAGGAGGGGTAGGGTGTGGATTCTAAGTTGCAGGGAGTTGTGGGATGATAACTGGAATCCGTGAGAACCTAAGGTTCCGGGGCCACGGGCTCCGGCTCCCAGGGCCCCTTTCGGGGTTTCCGTCGCGGGATCGCTGTGAGTTCTCAGAATCACGGCCCCGCAAGGTTCCCGCTAATGAAATTTGCCTCAAAGCAAAGTGAGGGGCCTCCCCGCAACATCCCGCTGGGAATCTGTCTCTAACTAACCGGAGCGCCGCAAAGGACAAAGTTCTCAGCTGGCGCTGGATGATTTCTGCCTTTGGCGATGGAGGTCGGGACAGCCAAACCGAGAGGGCCGCATGTGCGCACGGATCCCAGGCCGCAGAGGGCATTACAGGTGTTAAGACCTGAGGCACAAGGCGGGGAGGGCCCCCTCCTTCCCTCGGGGCTCAGCTCTCCGCCCTCCCCCGTGCGTGTGCGCCAGGCCCCAGCTGTACCGGAGGAGACCAGGGTGCTGCGCGGTGGAGCCTCTGTGCGGCTGAGCCCGCAGAGGGGGAAGGAGCAG